ATTCTCATCAAAAATTGACGATTTTGGCAAGACTATAGACTTGCTTTTTTGGCATTTTGGATGGTTTGAAAACGGAAAATTCCTGCCCAAAAAACACAGTTAGATGACTTTAAATATCATTATGATCATTGTAGTAGTATTTATTGATAAAGGAAACCTGTTTTACGCTTAGAAAATTCTCATCAAAAATTGATGATTTTAGCAAGACTATAGCCTTGGTTTTTTTTGGCATTTTTGGACTCTTTGAAAAATGGAAAATTCCTGCCCAAAAAACATAGTTAGATGACTTTAAATATCAATATGATCATTGTAGTAGTATTTATTGATAAAGGAAACCTGTTTTACGCTTAGAAAATTCTCATCAAAAATTGATGATTTTAGCAAGACTATAGCCTTGGTTTTTTTTGGCATGTTTGGACTCTTTGAAAAATGGAAAATTCCTGCCCAAAAAAACATAGTTAGACGACTTTAAATATCATTATGATCATTGTAGTAGTATTTATTGATAAAGGAAACCTGTTTTACGCTTAGAAAATTCTCATCAAAAATTGACGATTTTGGCAAGACTATAGACTTGCTTTTTTGGCATTTTGGATGGTTTGAAAACGGAAAATTCCTGCCCAAAAAACACAGTTAGATGACTTTAAATATCATTATGATCATTGTGTTCAGATATTATTGCATAAAGGAAACCTGTTTACGCTTAGAAAAATTCTCATGTCAAAAATTGAATGATTTAGCAAGACTATAGCCTTGGTTTTTTTTGCATTTTGACTCTTGAAAAATGGAAAACTCCTGCCAAAAAACATAGTTAGATTGACTTTAAATATCAATATGATCATTGTAGTAGTATTTATTGATAAAGGAAACCTGTTTTACGCTTAGAAAATTCTCATCAAAAATTGATGATTTTAGCAAGACTATAGCCTTGGTTTTTTTTGGCATGTTTGGACTCTTTGAAAAATGGAAAATTCCTGCCCAAAAAACATAGTTAGATGACTTTAAATATCAATATGATCATTGTAGTAGTATTTATTGATAAATGAAACCTGTTTCACGCTTAGAAAATTGTCATCCAAAATTTATGATTTTAGCAAGACTATAGCCTTGGTTTTTTGGCATTTTTGGACTGTTTGAAAACGGAAAATTCCTGCCCAAAAAACACAGTTAGACGACTTTAAATATCATTATGATCATTGTAGTAGTATTAATTGATAAAGGAAACCTGTTTCATGCTTAGAAAATTCTCATCAAAAATTAATGATTTTAGCAAGACTATAGCCTTGGTTTTTTGGCATTTGCCTTTTTGAAAACGGAAAATTCCTGCCCAAAAAACATAGTTAGACGACTTTAAATATCAATATGATCATTGTAGTAGTATATATTTATATAGGAAACCTGTTTTACGCTTAGAAAATTGTCATCAAAAATTGATGATTTTAGCAAGACTATAGCCTTGGTTTTTTTTGGCATTTTTTACCTCTTTGAAAAATGGAAAATTCCTGCCCAAAAAAACATAGCTAGACGACTTTAAATATCAATATGATCATTGTAGTAGTATTTATTGATAAATGAAACCTGTTTTACGTTTAGAAAATTCTCATCAAAAATTGATGATTTTAGGAAGACTATAGCCTTGGTTTTTTTGGCATTTTTGGACTCTTTGAAAAATGGAAAATTCCTGCCCAAAAAACATAGTTAGATGACTTTAAATATCATTATGATCATTGTAGTAGTATTTATTGATAAAGGAAACCTGTTTTACGCTTAGAAAATTCTCATCAAAAATTGATGATTTTAGCAAGACTATAGCCTTGGTTTTTTTTGGCATTTTTGGACTCTTTGAAAAATGGAAAATTCCTGCCCAAAAAACATAGTTAGATGACTTTAAATATCAATATGATCATTGTAGTAGTATTTATTGATAAATGAAACCTGTTTCACGCTTAGAAAATTGTCATCAAAAATTCATGATTTTAGCAAGACTATAGCCTTGGTTTTTTTTGGCATTTTTGGACTCTTTGAAAACGGAAAATTCCTGCCCAAAAAACATAGTTAGACGACTTTAAATATCAATATGATCATTGTAGTAGTATTTATTGATATAGGAAACCTGTTTTACGCTTAGAAAATTCTCATCAAAAATTGACGATTTTGGCAAGACTATAGACTTGCTTTTTTGGCATTTTGGACCGTTTGAAAACGGACAATTCCTGCCCAAAAAACACAGTTAGAAGACTTTAAATATCATTATGATCATTGTAGTAGTATTTATTGATAAAGGAAACCTGTTTTACGCTTAGAAAATTCTCATCAAAAATTGATGAGACTATAGACTTGCTTTTTTGGCATTTTGGACGGTTTGAAAACGGAAAATTCCTGCCCAAAAAACACAGTTAGATGACTTTAAATATCATTATGATCATTGTAGTAGTATTTATTGATAAAGGAAACCTGTTTTACGCTTAGAAAATTCTCATCAAAAATTGATGATTTTAGCAAGACTATAGCCTTGGTTTTTTGGCATTTTTGGACAGTTTGAAAACGGAAAATTCCTGCCCAAAAGACACAGTTAGACGACTTTAAATATCATTATGATCATTGTAGTTGTATATAATGATAAAGGAAACCTGTTTCACGTTTAGAAAGTTGTCATCAAAAATTGATGATTTTAGCAAGATTATAGCCTTGGTTTTTTGGCATTTTTGGACAGTTTGAAAACGGAAAATTCCTGCCCAAAAGACACAGTTAGACGACTTTAAATATC